GTGTGGTAAGGCGGTGTTAGATGAGATGTGACAGCGATCCTGATACGGTGGCGGCAATGGGTGGGGCAGCGTCGTTAATGTTACTGACAGAGGGGAGGAAAGAGCACTAAGATAGCAGTAGTGCTCAACCTGCTTGCAAGGGAGGACGACTGAGATAAAATGTGAAAAGAAACATAGTAATACCAACAAAAAAGTCTTTACCTCCCTTTACCACTAAGAGTGGGGAGGGAAAAGTCGAATGATGGGAGTCACATAAGAGAAGGAAATACTTTCTGAAGAATGAGACAATTTGTTTGTGGAAAGTGTGGATGAGAAGAAGATCTATTGATCATAGTATTCAAGGCAATGAGAAGTGGAAAATGGTTCCTATCACGAGGAATGGACCAAGAATACTATAATTACGAAATTGGTTGCGTTAGTGAATAGAAATGAATAAAAAAGATGAAGCAGAGAGGGGAACGAAAGAAATCAACTAGACCAGTAAACTCTTTGCTTTTTTTTACAACAGTTCATTCATTTGCGAGAGAGATAGAAAGTGTGCGAGTGATGAAGAGAGAGAAAGTGAGAGGGAAAGAGAAATCTACCGTGAAGACATGTCGGACGAAAAAGGAAATAATATATAATAATCATAAAATAATCATTACGAAAAATGGTGCGGGAATGCAGATGAAAGATTTAAGACGAAAAACGACGAAAAACTCATGAGATGGTAGGAGCCAAGAGCGAGAAGTTAGGTTACGAGTTGCCAGCCAGCTCCTTTGTTCCTCGGGAAGTCTTCACCTGCATCGTTCGTTTCCTGACTTGTCGTTTTCTGGCTCCTTTGTTTACTTAGTTTTTGCGGCGCCGAGCAGAAGCTTTTGAAAGCAGAAGCAATTTTCGCGTCGGTTTAACGACGGCGCGACGTCCTTGGCGTTGGGCGCCATCGGACGCGCCTCGATCGTGTTGCGGCTTCTGCTCGCCCGCAGCGCGCTTTTGAACGGCAGGACTCGCCGTAGCTTTCATTTTTTTTCTCGCGAGACGTGTAAAACAACATAATACTTTGCGTCGGGCGTCGAGGTGGTTTTATTTCCAGACATTTAACTTATTGAACCAGTTCACAGACAGTCGAGAGGATCATGGACTTTTATGGAGAAAACTGAACTTATGATTGAATTTTAATTGTTGAACCAATTAGTTTTCACTATTTGTTTGTTGTGAAAAAATGAAAATACTAGTATATACATTTTTTTAAATATTTTTTGAACATAAATAACGTTTTTGTGTAAATTATGAAACTACAATGTAATATATTTGATTAATTTCCATTTACTTTTTACATAATTAACACATTCTACATCTTCGTTATTAAGGAGAGATTTTATTAAATTAATTTCCCATATTGACATGCTCTCCATCGTGTATAAATTCCGTAAATACGTACAATTGTATTAAAAATACCACTCAACTCGTTCACTTGTTGCTCTAACTTCAGCATTACCAAAGGGAGGGTTTTTTAGGAAACTTATGATTGTTTATAAAGAGCTTCAATGTTTTAGGAAGCTGAACATCATTGATATTGTTTATGATGAAATCATTTATATTGTTATTGATAAAATGTGATGTAATTTAGCAAGAGTTTGTTTTAATCTGAATTGTTACAGTACCTTTGACGGTGAAAAAATCTTCGGGAATATTCACTCGAAAACTGAATATTCGGAATACATTTTGGAAATATTTTTAGAATATCTAGTATTAGTATAATATAGTTGAATACATACATTATAAAGATACATCGGCCTTTGTTTGACATAAAAATTTAATGTTTTGTCATTAAATTGAAAAATTGATTGAAGAAAGTTCATTATTTTTTCATGTGCAGAGTCAGATATTGAATTATGTTTTGTTTAAATAAATTCACATATATATTATTAGTTTCATCAATCTATTAATTAATCAAAATCGCCAAAAAGCCATTAAAATGAAAATGTTAGTTGTAGACTCTAGACACCCTACCTCCTTCATAATGCACGCGACCAATTATTTATTGGTATTACTTGAGTTAAAACTGAGTCAAACATTATATTGTTAATGTTAATAACTTTGTTTCTAGTGTAAATGTTCAAAGCAGTTTACTATGAAGTTATGGGAAAAAATTGCAATTTGTAATGGTGGCATCGCAGTTATAATAGGAAAATTACAACTTCTTAAATTTTCAGTTATATATTTAATTCCTAACAGTTAATTCACAGAGTTATTTGGAATAGATCACGAGCTGAACTACCTGGTGTACTATTCAACAACATAACTTAATATCTATTCGTATGTTGGAAGATTATTGAATTCTGTTGAGGAACGGATAATTCATAGAATTCAGTGACTGAAGAAAACAATACTGTCTTCTTCGAAATGGTTCTGAAGTATCCTATGGAAATGAATTCGGAAGGAATCTCGACCCACTAACACGCAAGAGATACGGACACCATCTTCATTACAATTAATCTCATTGTATCTCCTGCCTTGTACGAGTGAACAATCTCTGGCTCGAGTCCAGTACGACATTACACACGATCTCTGATAGTCATGCAACATCGTCTTAGTCTGTTTACCTTCATACAGTAGGACAACTAACCCGGTCGATAGTAGTATGCTCATATCATCAAAGAACATGCCCAATCTCCGTGATAAGTTGACGAATACATTTTTCAATGAATACTCCCTTTTGTCGTTCATTAATCTTAGCCTCATGGAAGACTGGTTTTTGAAAACGAAAGTAAAGAAACCCATAATTAACATGCGAGATGCAGCAAGTTTTTTTAGAAACGGTTAAAGGTAACTAATTGTTTTGTAAGTGGTCGTTTATTATAAACCCGTATTTAAAAGCGATGAATTGTAAACGTGGAGGAGTCCTTTTGAAAGGCTCTGAACAAGATATTAGAATCAGGAATTCAGGAAGAGCTCTTCCCTTCAAGAAAATTATTATAAACTAGTAGTGCTACAACAGCACTTACTTTCTCGCATTATTTGTAACTACTTCCATTATTTTCAGCACAGCATAGAGACAAGCAAGTGTAATGTCACATATAAATTGAACGGCCAGAAATAAAGGCAATCCAATATGTTGCATTATGAATGCATTTGAAACTACGATATCATTATAAATGCTAATGTCAAAAACATTCACGAACGTTTTTGCTGAACTTGAACTTTTTGAACTGCCTCTATGCAAGTCAACCGGAACGTAAAAGAGGAATTGCTTCGCAAAGTTTTCTTTATTTATAAGAAAAAATAATTTTATACAATTTATAATCACTTATTTTTATACATTATAAAATTATAAATGTTTTGAAGAGAAATGGTTACATATGATGAAAAAATTTTCTGAATATTGTTACATATTTTCAAAAATTTTGTAAGAACTTGTTTAATTTTTAAACGTTTGTGAGAACTAGACGCGGCGTCTTGTGGACAGCCAAGCAACTACTGACTCCGGCCACGGAAGCCTACGCTCTCATCGTGAAATTATATCTGCACCAGTAACAACCCCTACAAGTTACAAAGATATAACAGATGTGAATAGGAGAGATGTGTACAATTTGGTTCTGACAGTCGGACATCCCCAATTCCAGGCCAATGGCAGGACCAATCAGATATGAATTACATTAGCCATTATTGCTCATTGTATATAAATAACAAAATAAGTTAAATGAAAGTAATATTGGATTTCCAATGATATGAATGATATTGATATTAA